TTTTCAGGACAAGACATTTGAATGTAATTGGTCCCCATGAGCTCATAGGGAGTGGTACTGTTAGGAGGTGTGGTCTTGTTGGAGTGGGTGTGGCCTTGTTGGAGGAAGTGTGTCACTGTGGAGACAAGCTCTGAGGTCTATGCTCAAGTCATGCCAAGTGTGACATAGTCTCCCTCTCCTGCCTTTGGATGACGATATAGAACTCTCAGCACCATGTCTGCCTATGTGCTGCCATGTCCCATCATGATGATAATGGACTGAACCTCTGAACTGTAAGCCACCCAATTAAATGTTTTCCTTTATAAGAGTTGCCAATGCCATGGTGTCTCTTCACAGCAATAGAAACCCTAAGACAGAAGTTGGTACCAGGGATAGGGGTATCGTTGTGATAGACCATGCTATTGTTTGAAGGAATATAGACCTTGGGACTGTGGATTAGAAAAGCAATTAAGTGCCTTAAGTGTTGCTTAATGGGCCATACAAGTAGGAGCATGGGAGACAGTGGTGCTGAATGTGATTTGATGAACTGTGGGGGCCTGGCTCAAGAGGTTTCAGAAGAGATAGATTTTAATATGCTGTCTAGAGACTAGTCTTGTGATATTTTTGTGAAAAATGTAACTGCTTTTTGCCCTTGTCCAAAGAGTCTGCCTGAAACTAAAGTGAAGAGTTTTGGATAATTTCTGCCACCAGAGGAAATCTCAAAACAGCTTAATATAAGCTTTGTTATGTGATTACTCATGTTAACTCTAATGAAGATTTATAATGAGAAGGAGCAAAATGAGCAAGGAAGAATACAAAATATCCATTTTGAGGCAAAAAGGAGCACCTGGAAGTAGAATGGAGTTAAGTCCTGTGTTCAAAGAGATAAACAGTTTAAGAAATGGAATAAAGAGAGTGGCAACCTCAGGGCAAGATCCCACTCAGGTAAGTTTCCACTTTGTGAAAAGGATTTAAAGAAAACCTTAGCACCTGGTATAGTGGTGCACACCTTTAATCCCAGCACTCAGAAAGCAGAGGCTGGTGGACTTCTTTGATGCCAGCCTGGTTTACAGAGTAAATTCCAAAACAACCAAGCTTAGGCAGTGAAGGAAACCACGGAAGACAGAAAACTAGTGAAGTAGCTAATTAACCAGGTGCTGGGGGGCATGTCCCAGCTGCAGTAAGTAGCAGAACTTGGTATCTTTTGCCACATGGCCACTTTAGAGTCAAAGAATGACTAAGGAAAGCTGCTGAGGTCAGACATGTGTCAGTTTTGTCCCTGAATGGTGACCTAAAGAGGTCGTTTCATGAAGCTCTGGAGGTGAAGCCTGGATTGCCTTGGAGACCCCAAGAGGCTGGAGATGCCAGAGCTGTAGGATACCTGCAGAGGAAAGCTGCTAATAGAGAGTGGTACCAGCCAAAGAGAAAGAAGTGTGTTACCGTCAACAAAGCTGAAGGGAGTTGGAAATCAGAAGAATGTTTTGACATCAGACATGAGGTGCAAAGTTTGGAGTTTTCCCAGCAGGTTTCCAACATTGTTTTTGTCCAGTATTTCCTGGCTATGCTCCCTTCCTTGCGTTTTGGAATGGTTATTTATAACCTGTGCAGTTATATGTTGGAAGTACATGATTTGTTTTTTATTTTGACTTAACAGGGGATGACATTTAAGAGATTGCACCAATCTCAGAAGAAGGCTTTGAGCTTTAAAACATTATTGAGACTATGATAGACAGTAGGGACATTTGAACTTGGACTAGATGTATTTTGTATACAAGTTTATTGGGGCCAGGGAATGGAATGTGGTAGTTTAAATGTGATTGGCCTCTATAAGCTAATAGGTAGTGGCACTATTAGGAGGTGTGGCTTTGTTGGAGTAGGTATGGCCCCTTGTTGGAGGAAGTGTGCCACTGTGGAGGTGGGCTTTGAATTCTCATATATGCTCAAGTAACACCCAGAGCTTTAGTTCAGTTCCTGTTGCCTGATGATCAAGATGTGTAATTCTTACTTAGTTCCTTCTCCAGCACCATGTCTCACCATAATGATAATGGATGGAACCTCTGAACTGTGAGCCACCCAGTTAAATGATTTCCTTTTAAAGAGTTGTTGTGGTCATGGTGTCTTCACAGCAGCAAAAACCCTAAGACACAGGATTTCTCTGTGTAGCCCTGGCTATTGGAGAACTCACTTTGCAGAACAGACTGGTCTTGAACTCAGAGATCCATCTGCCTCTGCTTCCTAAATGCTGAAATTAAAGGTGTGTACTACCACCGTCTGGCATAGAAGATGCAATTTTTTTTACTATAATTTTTTTTATTGAGAATAAGAAAAGTTTCCGCCTCCTCCCAGCCTCCCATTTCCCTCCCCCTCCCCCC